TCGGTATATATTAAGCATTAATAGAGTTGCTAAAAATCTTCTAAACTGACTTCATATTCAAAAGGTCTTTTGTTTCATTTTGAACTGTACATGTTGGGATTTTACTTAAAGCTCTTCATTAATTGAACTTCATAATCAATAATTCTGAAAGTCAAACATGCTGACTAGTTGTAGCCTTGTCCTCTGTAGGAGACCAAATTATGAATAATTCGTATGTAATGTGACTCTCTTTTTCCTCCAATTTTTTTGATTTAAGAGATCAGAAATGTTAATATGCCATCTGGGTCTCTTGTAGAATGTTGAGTGCAGTGTTTACAAGAAATTAGATTACCACAGGCATTTATTTGGGAAATATTTTGTGTTTATTAAATTTCTGTTTTTAATTGATGAGCTTTTCATTTCCATATGGTTTCAACAAAACCAGTCTCTACATGGAAGATTGAAATATGCAAGACATACTACTTTTTAACCTCTTTTTCTTTCCAACAGAAAATACTTATTTAGTTTTTCCTTAGGTGTTAGAACTTTCTATCTTGAAATAAATAATAGTATAATGTACTGCAGATTTTATTTCTTATGTTATCTAATGTTGTGGTGCCATGGAAATAATGTTAGTATATTTATTCTTGCATTGTCTCTAGCCTTAACGTTTTCATCTGGTTAACAGCTGTGCTTGTATTGTTGCAGAGGTCTGGAGGGCAGATGAGAGCACAGATATGCGTTTCCACCATTATGTTCCTTAATCTGCTCCAAGTCAAAAAGGAGTTGGTATTTTAGAATGAGTCAGTTCTAACTGTAGCATCTCTATCTTTATTTAGAAAGCAGACATTAATAGTTGCCCTTTCAGAAATGCTATGTTATTAAGCAACATACCTTCTTTTCCTACAGATGCCTCATTACCTTCTTTATGCTTCTGATGTCTTCCTGTAAAACAGAATGTCTGTGTTCTAATTTGAAGAATGCTAATTGATGAGAAGTCAGTTTGAAATCCTGATTTTCCTCAGGCTTGCAAGGAAATACACAAGGAAATACAATTTGGCTGAATGTATAACAAATATTATAGGAAAAAGTGCAGGCATTTTCTCTGCACTTTTTGTAACTGGCATTCGCCTATTGTACCAAAAAAAAAAAAGAAAAGAAAAAGAGGGGATTTCATTACAAATTACTAGAAATGTCAATACCAGAACTGCTGTGGCTTCAGACTCTTATTAAACACTTTTCAGTGTTGAGAAATAAGAGAATTGGATTTTGGTATCTTACGCGTATAGAGCTTTCCCTTAAAGTTGCCCATTCTTTTTCTTTATTCTGTAAGTTAAAAAGAGATTTAACAGATTAAAAGAGATTTAACAATACAGAGGGGGAAAACTCAAGAGAAACCTTGATCATATTGCCTTGAGTCAGCGCTAAGTAATTGTTGAGAAAAATCTGGTAGCACCACTTGGCCATTCTGTGTCATCCTGTTGCAAAGCCTTCCTCATCTTGTACCTTGCTTCACGTCCAGGTCAATAACGGTGTTAAATTGTACGTTATGGGGTCAGTGTCATTGTTGCAATTTATTCACACAAAAGATCATAGTGAGTGTTGAATTTGCACGTAGTCTTTTGATTATTTTTGCCCCCCTTTTTAATTAAGCATGCAAATGAAAAGACAGTGTCTTTTGGTGCTGGTCCACATTAAGAAATGGCACAACAGAACTGTGCTTCTTGGTAGGCAGTGGTGTTAGCTGGCTACTCATGGCACTAATTCTTGATTCCTCTTTGTGGCTGTTAATGCTGTCTGTTGTGGTATGTACCCATGTAGGAGAGGTTGGCAGAGAGGCAGCTCTTGTTTGATACTTCTTTTTTTTTTGTTACTAGGAAGTCGGGACAACATCAAATTTACACTTTCCTTGTCTTTTGAGTAAGAGATTGGGTTTGCATGGCATTTGAATGCCACTGTGCACAGAGTACAACATCTTCAGCTCCTTGGTGTGGAGATGTGTGTATAGAGGAGTCTCAAAGTACTGTATTTGAACTGGCAGTCTTCAAAGGCTAAGCTATTTTGCGATGGCTGCTTTGCCTTTAAAAATAGACATAGGAAGTGCCTAGTATATCTGGAGGAACCTCCCTATTCAAATACATATTCTACCTTTCTTCTCCATCTGACCCTTAAAGTCCAGAGATGGCAGGATCAAAGCTTTGCCTGTTAAGACAATCAATACAAACAGTATCATGTCCTATGTAACCACCACGTAATCAACAAAATGATACCTAATGAAGACTGTGTGTGGATTTTGTCATGTGACCTGCAAATGATAAGGCAGTGCTCCAAGCCTGGAAGAACTTTTAGTTCTTCCTCAAACTCCTGTTTATCTCACCTGTGAAGTTTTAAGGCAATTTTGGGAGGTAAGCTTGCCAGAACCATGTACCAAAGTGAAAAGAGACAGCAGAAGTAAAGACTTAGTACTGTCCCAATGCCAGGGGTTCTGCTTGTTATAACCCAACAGTCAGAGAGAGCTGATTTGAGGCCTTGTGGTGGAATGTTGAAGTACATGGAAGACTTTTAAGTACTGACAACCCTCAGTACTTGTTACTTATTTGTGCCACCAGTGCAAAAGTGTGCCTCCCATTGCTGCTTTGGAGTTTGTTCTATTCAAGGAAGAATTCAAACAAACAAAACCCCCAAACCCACCAAAAAACCACCTCTCCCCAGTTCCTAATGTGATCAGTCTGTCTCCTCTGGAGTTCAGTATGGTTGGCAATAGTTCACTGGCTACTAGTTGTTTCTAACTGAGATGCTTTTGCAGTCCTTTATGGGTTTAAAGCCATCCTCTCCTAATGGTTTGAAAAAAATACCCTCTAGAATATAGAACCCTACTTTAGTGGCATCTTATTGCCAGGAAAATAAGATATTGAGGCACAAATGTACTGACCATTTCTCAGAGAACTTTCGGAACCTCTTGTACAGAATTTATATCTTGAATACTGAGATTCTTGATCTCGGCAGCAAGCATGGCCCTGTAAATTGTTGATTGTTGCATTAGTAAGACTAACCTGTTGTACTCTAGGTTTTTGACCAAGGTGATCGAATGTATTTAAGATATTTGCTCCCTATTCCATATTTGAATGTTTTAACTTGAACCGAGATGTTATTTCCTGTGCAAACAAAGTTGGTAGGGTCACCTTTTCTTACAGTTGCTGTGGATCTTCGTTATGATGTAGGAAATGTGAATTCCTTGACCTGTTCTCCATCCTGACATACGAAGTGCTGGTTTTATGACACAGGGAAGCTGGATGCTCGTGCATGGCATGATGCTATTAGATAAGAATCCATGCTTACGCACTTTCCTCAGGATCAGTCCTATGTCATTTGTGAGAACTGAGTTATGGCAGTGCTTTTTCTTCAAACTCTAGCCTATGAGTGGAAATGAATATATCAGAGTTCAATTTGAAGTAAGCTTCTAGTGAATGTGGCTGTTGCAAAAAGCTTAGAAATATAAATAGTAAAGTTGAAAGTTATGTGATCCAAAAAAAAAAAATCCATATGAATTATTCTAAAAATGTAAGGGTGGTGGTGGAAGAGGGCAGTAATTTGATTTCCATGTGTACAGTTTTCTTAGTTTGGTTTTGTTTACACACCTGGAGAGTTGGCCTGTCTGTGGGTCAGTCCCTTTTGAAAAAAGGGCACTTAGTCCTGCTTTTTGGGCTAGAAAGCTGAAACCCTGTAGGTACATAAAATAGCTTAAAATTCACTCAGAAATAACTGTTTTAGCTCAAATATCTCCAATTATTGTTTGTTTCACATTAGGTGGGGTTTAGCTGCAGGAAGTAATAAGTAGACTTAGTCTCCAATTTTTTTTTTTTATTATTGCAGTCTCATTGCTTGCATAATATGAATTACTTAACAGTAGGGTGGAAAACCGTATAGCTAGATATGACATTAACTTCTCTGACATCTTAATTACTTGTCAGACTATTAAAGTATGTTATTTTATAAATAACAGAATAAGCAGAATTTTATAAGCAGCTTGACATGATTTTATGCTTGGTTTTATATAAAAGCTTTGAAGAACCTTTTGCTGAAGAACTCTTAGGAAATATTCCTGAAGAAAATTTTGCATAATAGAATTAAGTATGTGCTATGCGTTTTAAAAAAATTATATTGAAAGTTTAATTTAGACCTTGAAAGTTTATGAGAATTAGAGAAAAAAAAAAAAAAAGTATCTTTTTGTAGAATGAGATTGTGTGGAATTGTAAGCTTCCAAACAGCGTTAAGAACTTGGTATCCTGGTAGAGCTCTAGAAAGTAACTATAGAATATATAACTAGAAAGTTTAGTTATAGCATTTAGCTTTTTGAGACTTTTAAATGTAGCTCTCATGACTATATATATACATAATCTTTTTTATTTTAAAATTGTTTCTATTAGTCAAAGGCAATTATGCAGAATCCTAGAACCTTAAAAATAGCTAAGGTAGATTTGTTTCTCTTTGGCACATTTTGAAGTTTGAATTTCTTACCTTTCTCAGATATTTTTGTAGATATTTGTTTCTGCTGTTATGATTTAGTAGATATTTTCTTTGGGATTTTAGGTAAGAATGAAGGTAAACAAGAAGGATTCTAAGTTTGTTTCCCCTGAAAATCAGAGTTGTCCCTTTCTTTTCTTAAAATGTGAATGTGTTCCTCTTGGGCAAATAGCTCATTTTATGTCCTTTATTTTTTTGGCCTTTTTTTAAGGACATAGCACTATCACTTTAACCTGAAAAATTGAGTATAATATTTGTTATTAAAGTAAGTGTTTTCTTATTATAGGACTTCTAGTTGCTTTTTGCTTTTGCCAGTGGCCTTTCCAACCAGGGAAGGATTGCTGCTTTTAATTGCAGAAGTATCTTGCATGTATAAATGACTTGTCTATATATAATTTCAAATAGCTTTTTTCTTTTTTTCTTTTTTTAGGTTAAAAATATTGGGGATTACTTTAAACATCATCTGCTGCAGTCAAGGCACAGGGGTGCATTTGAATTGGCATACGCTGGCTTTGTGCAACTTACGGAAATGCTTTCCAGGTAAAAGATGGGCAACTTATTACGTTTTTAATATAATAGTTTTACCAAACTGTGGCATCGATCCTGAAACTGGCTGTGCAAGCAGATCCTTGATTTCATGTGGATTTTATTTGAGTTTGGTGTAGGCATGATTTTGACATTAGTTACATGATGTCTGTGACTTGGACTGCGGTGCTTATGGTTAGAGATGGTGCTTAGGCATTGAAAGACGATACAGACATTTAATGCTCGCTGCATTTTTCTCCATTTCTGGCATGCTAGTTTACTGAACAGCTCTCAGAAGCTCTTGGGAAAAGTAGGAGTGTAGAATTCTTTCCCCCCAGTCCCCTTTCCCCAGTCCTTTATGAAAATCAATGCCAGACTTTCTGTTTCAGCCAGGATGTTTTCCTGGAAACTTTTATAACTTGTCATTGAGTTGTATATTCTGACATTTGGAAGACTACCTGGCAGTGCATCACAAGATGTGATATGCGATCTTTTTAATTTTTTTTTCTTTCCCCTTGTAACTTTATACTTTCCTAGAAGAACTAAATGAGTAGAATTGTCCTGAGGTCTGGGCAAGAGCGTTGGAATTTCCATTACATGCTTAGTTACCTATTTCAAGTGTTAGTAATGTTTCTTTGTCATATATAGTGACTATATCATATCCAGTTTTTAATAAGACAAATCAAAATCTCTACTGACTTTGTGGGGTTTGGTGGGGTTTTTTTAATGTAGTTTTTGGAAAGACCAGTCAAATTTTCAATTTGAAGTATCTGTATTTTCACACCAACGCCAGGTTAAGTAACCAATGTTCCCCTTTTGCCTCAAGTGGGCCAGTTTGAGGCAGTGATCTGTTTCCTGTTTATTTTGGGTGGTGCAGAGGAAGGAAGAGGGGATAGTTTTGTTTGGTGGGTGTTTTTTTTTTTTTAAGGAAAAAATAAATCTGGTGATGGAAACACTTTGGTGTTTTTAGTACAGACCAGCTGCCTGGCCAGGTTCCCTGTGTGTCCCCTCAGACAATTTTCCCAACAGAACTGAGGGGTTGGTCTCTGGTACGGGATGTTGGTGGGGTAGCTGCATATAGGTACCAGCACTGCTACAGAAATTGGCATTTGACGCATTACGGCCTTCATTCTGTATGCCAGTGAGATGTTAAACTATAAGCCACAGTTCTGTTGGCGATGTATCTGTAGAAGGTTGTTTCCTTTTATGTGCTAGCAATTGAAGCACTTTAAATGGGTCTGAGTAGTTTGTTAAGAGCTCACACAACCTTACTTCACACTTGATTATTTACTTAAAAAGGCAGAAGAGAAACTGATGTGTGATACTGTTCTTGCTTATCTTTTTGCCTATCTATATACGTTATATACGCTTGTGTAAATGTTGTGTTCTCTTTTTATGCTATGAAAACTTGGTTCAGGAAGTTTTAAGATGATGTATCAGAGAAAGTTGTAAGGTGATGTATCAGATGATCGCTCAGTGGCACCCTTTGTGCTGTCTTCTTATTAACTTCCCTGCTGGGCTAGATCTTTCCTACTTTCAGTGCTGTGAATATTGAGAGAGCAGCTCCTACAGTGAGTGAGAAAAAGCTTGCCAAGATGAGTGACTGGAGACATAATATCGTGGACAACAGTTGAGGTGCTCCCACTTACCTGGGAAGCTTTCTAGAGAAGTGGTTGTGTTGTCACATCAATTAGTGAATCTAACTTGAATGGGCTACGGAGCAGACATTTTATACTTTTGATTTTTCCAAGTCAAGTACAAAACATTGTTCTGCTGTCTGCTGCATACTTCTGGCTGCTGTTTATAGATACTTTAGCACACTATGCACTATTTCATTCAGTCTCCTGAATTGGATGCTGCACTTGCAATAGTGGGTTTTTTTAATTAAAAAAACCAAAACAAACCAACCCCCACTCTAACAGCAAAAGCCTTCATTCTTTTCAGTGCTTCTCTTGCAGACCTCTGACATCATAACTTAAGACTTTCTGTATCGTTATCTAAACTTAGTTTCGTGTGTGAAACTTGCTTTTTTCCAAAGGCAGAAATAAGTTCAGGTAACAAAATATTAACAAATTTAGTCATTGGTTTTCTTTTGAGACATACAGTGACAAATTAAAATGTGTTGTGCCAATAGCTAATATTTTCATGTCAGGCAGCATTTCTTTGAATGTTCATTAAATTAATATAGCATTCCAAATAAAGTAAGCTGTTAACAGTATAGAATGCATAGAAACAATTGCTGAATATTGAAGGATGTTATCCGTAGGTATGGTGGATGTGAATATAAACATGTGTTGATGTAAAAAAAATTCCATGGTTAAGTTGTACGATCTACTTTAGTTTCAAAGACTTTATTCTTTCCATCAGATTGAAGAGAGTCTGGCCATCAAAGTAACACTGTTTTAAAAAAAAACAAACAAACAAACAAAACAAAACCAAAAAACTTTTTACTACCACCAGCCTTTTTGAGGGGAGAAAGGAGGTGATCCAAACAGGTACAGCCCCACTAGTCTGGTCTCTGTCAATATGCAGGACTACCTACAACAAACTTAATAGGAAAGGCAAACTAAAAAGCAGGAAATACTGGAAAACGTAAAACGTGCTGTCAGCTTATAGCGGACTCTCTACATGGCAGACTAGCTGTTTTTCTTTGATTTTCAGTTTTTACATTTCTTTTAAAAGCTGAGGCAAATAGAGTAGAGCAAATCTACCCAGACTTCAGAGAAGTTCCCGATATGTTTGTTCCCTCTCCCTTTTTCTGCCATTGTATTTAATGGAGCACAATCCACTTAGCAGCTTTATATTATGTTGTAAAATGAAGAGCCAAGCTCAAGAGAACTCTGCTTCTCTGGAAGTTATTAAAACATTAACCAGTTTGTATGTATCATCATCAAAAAAAGCGTGCTTATATTTAAGTAATTTTCCTCTTCTGAATTAACAGTTCTCTAAAACAGTTTTTTGACGATGCGTACTGCTCAGTATTTTTAAAGTTAAGGTATTTCAAGTAGAGCAAGTACTCCTTTGGGAAAAGCCAGTTTAGAAGAAGCAGAGAGCAGCTCTGTGGAAGTACATTTGTTTCTGAAAGAAGACATTTGCCAGGAAATACGGGTCTCAAGGCTAGTATTTATATTTAAAATAAAGGAGAAGGGAGACTAATACCAGAATAGCCAATGACTCTTTGGTTTGGTACTCCCGGGACACGAGGAGTGTCTTGGGACTCTTCTCCAAAACGGGTGAGTTAAGTCTCTTGGCGAACGCAGTTGCCCTGCAGGTCTGTTGAGTGTCCCGGGGTCTTTCCATTTACCCTGCTGCAGCTGAGGGGCTCCACTCTGCAAGTAAACCCAAACTGGCCTGCCTCTCTCCATAGCTGCCAGGCTCACGGACAGTCTTGAAGCATGTGTACCAGAATCTGCATTAATTTACTGCTGCAGCCACAAATACCGGAGGAGAAAGCCTTTGTCTGTGTCTGAGGCAGCTTACGGTAATGTACAGCTTAAACATGATACCTTGTTGAACAGAATTGAACTCAAGATCTACAGAAGCATCCTTGACACTTTAATTCATTCTTTCTCTAAGACCCAGTGAAAAATCTGTCACTAAGACTGTGCCAAATCCCTTTCCCATGCTTTTATGAAAGACTCCAGTTGAACATGGTCCTTCACTTTTACAGCCAAACATCTTCTTAAAACTATATGCTGGAATATTTACCATTTGAGCTCGCTTTTAGCTATATAACCCTTAAATACCGTTCTTTGTAAGAACCAAGAGTAGGCTTCTTTCTAGACAGAGCAATGGTATTCAGACCAGTCTGAGTTAGTGGTGAAAGAAAAATCTTTCCTCCACAGAGATTTCTGATGAACCTGATGAAATTTGATCTCTGACTTTACATTTGGATGTAAATTGCTGAGTCTGCTCTAAGTATGCAAGTTGCTGTTCTTCCTTTTCCCTGCTCATATTCCTTCTGGTGGTGTGATGCTCCCTTTGTCGTGCCTGCTTAATATTGTCTGCAGCTGTATCTTCAGAAAACCATACAGTTACAAGACAAGCAATGTTCATATCAATGAAATAAGCGATGTTTTTTTTAAAAAATATTTTCCTCTTATAGGCCCTGAGAAATTACAAATGCTCATTCAGGCTGATGATGTGGTGGTTAGGGAAAGTACCTGGAAGCCTCTGGGCATCTGTTTTAAACTTGAATCTTCTGTAATCCTTATAAATACCCAAACAGTTTCTCTGTTCCAAATAGTGTTTTGCCTATTTTGCTTTTATTTTGTTTAGTGAAGCTTTTCTGAGAGATCAAGTAGAACATAAAGATTTCTGGAAATGTCAAAATCATGGTGTTGCATAGCTATGGCTGTAGTGCTTTTCTTCACTGAAGTTGCAGAATGCAAGGGGAAGGTTTGGGAAGAGTTCTGTCATACAGCGCAATGTGTTTATTTAGGAATAATGTATTTTGAACATTTTTAAATGTTCAAATTGGAGCTTAAATTAAACTCAGTGAACACAATTTTAGGTATATGCAACAAGTTAGGATCATATCATATAGTCTTCTGGAAAACTGTAATGATAAAAAAAACCCTGCTTTGATTTTACATATGTTTAATCCAGTATCAGTGGAAATTATTCATCTGTGCCTAGTCAGTGTCTGATCTTCTGTAATATTTCTGTTGGGGAACTGGGAGTAGACCTTCCTAATCCTTTGCAGTAAACTCTGCTTCTGACTCGTTTTGTTGCTCTGAAGTGACTGTAACTCTTTGCCTTCCCAGGCCCCTATGGTCTGCTGGGAAAACTTCTTGTAAAATTGAAAAATCATTGATGGACTTTCTAGGGAAATGTACTAGAATTGTCACTAACTTTTCTCAGCAAAAGTGTAATCACAGTTGTGAAGGAAAGAGTCTAAAATGGAGAGAAATAAAATGGGGGGGGGAACTGTTCATATGTATTGTGATTTGCAGGGTTGGGAAGTACACTATATAATGAAGTACAAGATACAGTGTTAAGGCACTGCTCAGTTTGAAGACATGTTAATTTTTAACTCTGTCTGTATTTCACCCCCTCCCCCCATTTCTTTTCCTGCTTGGTGAAAGAGATAGGGGTAATGATATTGTCTCTGAAATTTTGAGGCCACCCAGAGTTCTCTCTGCTTTGCTTTACTGCTAGAGAAACCTCAAAACAGCGCCTTTCTTGATGCACCTGTATAACTTGGAAAATTTTGCTTCATTTAGAGCAGATGCTATGAAAAAGAGGATGCAAATGGAAGGATGTCGTCGTTTCAGAGGAGTTGTTCTTAAAAGGAGACATTTTCTAGGATGACTTATACCTTGAATAGTAATGTGTTTCTGAGGCTAGATTCTTGTCTCCTTATTTGTCTGAGAAGTGCCGGGGCAGTATGGAAACTAGCTTTATAAAGAATAGGAATCACATTACTTGTGTGAAAAAGAATAATACTGCTCTATTGAGAGAGGGAAAAATGGTGAAAGAAAACCCTTTTTCCCCAGATAGGGACTGATTACAGCCATTGGAAATGCTGAATTCTGGGTTAACACATGTAGAAATTGCTTCTGGTCATGTGAAGTTTATGCCACAAACCACTGACATCCAGGAAGGCCAAATCCAAATCCAAGATCGATCCTTTGTTCTTAACACACCATTAATTTTGGATAGGAGAAAATACAGCTGTATGAGTTAGGGAGAGGGGTTTAGCTTTAACTTTGCATTGGCTTTTTGTACTCATTGATACTGACCACAGAAAGGGTTTTGGGCATGTATGAAATTGTTATAACCAGCAGACGGACAGACAGAAATTTGTGGAAAAACACTTACTGTGCAACATCCTAAGTAATTTGTGTATCAAGTTACTGTGTTATATTTTAATTATCAACACTATTTGTTTGATCTGGTAAAAATAATTACTATTTAAGTCTGGAAAATGACATTTGAGCTTGAGACCACCATTTTTACATTGTAAAGCTTCATTATTCTTAAAATTTAGGGCCACCTGCTTCTTAAGACAATATTCTTCTTGCCAGACCATAAGGAGATGGAGCTGCCAAATTTAAGGGAGTAGTCATCTCCATTGCAAAGTCAATAGTCTCTAATGTTTCTAACTTTAAAGCAATAACCCTTTCACCTTTCAAAAAAAAAAAAAAAAAAGTGCCTTGGTGGGTGACTGAACAAGGTAGAATTACTTGTGGCAAGATCAAAGCAATACGGTTTTAAGGGAGTCTGAAATTTATTGGATTTCAGTATATTTCTCCTCTTTCTACTACTACTGCAAGGGGAAAACCCCTTCAGTTTACTTAAGAATAAAATATTCAGTATGCTATGTAGCAACTTTTAAATATTTCCTTAATGCTTTACTTTGTGTTCTTCTGCACCACAGCAGATGTGAATATGTCTCGTGGGATGTTTGTTTTAATACTAAGATAACACACTGAAGAGAGATGAGCACTGTTCTTTGCATGACTAAACTAAGACATTTAAATTCTGCTTAGCTAGGGAGGTAAGACCAGCCACAGACATGATCAGAAGTAGTAGCTTTGCACGTGTTGTCGTGGATGAAGAGAACTGCAAAGTAGAGTCTAGCTGCAGAGACCCACGGAGGAGATCCACGAGAAGTTTTGCGTGGTCTCAACCCTAGAATTGCATCCTCCTTGTGTACCCAAACGTGAGCAAAGGAACACATCCTGAAAGTAAGCAGGGAAGCTAATTATCAGCGACAAAGATAAAGAAAAGTCGAAGAAAAGAGAACTTGCTGTTAGTTTTCCAGGTTAATTTGATTGCTTCTGTCACACGCTTGAGGCAGAAAGTGCCCTTCTCTTATGCTGTGGTATGAGGTGACATACCCCTTGTGAAGCCATGTTCCTCTTGTGTTCTGGACTGATGGTTCACATGCTGGACGCTGTTCTGAAGAGGTGCTGCCCTTAAAAAATGGGGAGAAGGCCTGACAGCAGCATAGGAAACCTGTTGTGGAAATCCTAAGAGAATTACTGAAGAGTAAGAGGTCTGCTGTGTCTTCTGCTGACCTGTCTGGCACTTCTTGTGACCTCTGTTTTCTGCATTAGTGATTTCTGTTTATTTTGTAAAAGAAGGAAAGGAGGGTTTCACTACAGATTAAAGCCTCATTTATTGTTCAGTATCAGGTTTTTAGCCTACCTAAATTCTTGCTTTAATAAGAGGAGGGTAAAGAAGGAGAGAGTAAATGTAGACCTTCCAGTAGATTTTGTTTTTTACATCAGTACCTGCTCCCTTTTAGCTTTTCTTTTAAATTCTTTATTTCAGTCACCGAGGTGGAAAACTTGATTGTATCTTACTGTAAGGTCTCCCTACTTAATCATAAATTTAATTATAGTTTATATTTTTAGGTAGGGCAAGTCCTGCATGGTTGAGGTAATTGCAATTGTATTGCCCACAGTGATTAATTCTTTCTTCTACACTGAATCACGTGTCAAACCAGTGTGACAGGTTTTAATAACAACGTCTCATTAATAGAAATTTTCGTAACAGTGAATGATCCTTTTGGAACATTGGCATAAGATTAATGAGCTGGTCTTGCACACTGAATATAGTACATTTCATTGAACTGATCAGCACCAGCAATTGAAGTAAACTTGAGTTCTCCTTGTCCTTGGAAGTCCTTTGCTTACAGGCAATGCTGAGTTTTATAACTGCAGAGGAGGAGTATTTGATGATAGGAGAGCAATTTGGGTGCTTTACCAAAAGTTTGACTGATGCAGTATCTTAAAAAGAGCAGTATGTCTTGTTTTTCATTCCTTCTGCTGCTCTGAGGTTTGCAGGGGTATTTACATAATATGTACTTACTGTGAGGGGCTTCAGTTACAAACATAATTGTATATGTTAGTTAATGTAAGGGTCACGCATCAGCTACTGTGTGACAGCAAAGATACGAATTTGTGAAGTACCACTTCCTACACAGTGACTGACGTGCATATGTCTTTGTTTTCTTCTCCAGAACAGGATAATGGTTCTGGGCAGAGGAGAACAGTGGCAGTGCTGAAGCACAGAATCCTGTGTTCTGTTCAGTGAAATATTTTTCCCTAGTGGCACTTAATGAGTAGGGTTAATATAATTTGTACCAACATTGGAAAAATACACAATTCCTTTTTTAATTTCTGCCTTATTTCTTAAAAAAATCTGTGTATATGCTTGGAGATGTTCACATATAGTAAGAAATGTTTCTTAAGGTCACTAAATGTTTTCTTTGACTCTGTCCTAGTTTCATATATATTTGTTTCATGTTTCTTACGTATTTGTTTCATGTAGATGTAACAGTGAGAGTCTGCGCAACATGCCAGAGCAGTGGCTAAGCTGTGTGTTAGAAGAAATCAAATCTTGTGATCCTTCATCTACACTGTGTGCAACCAGACGTAGTGCGGGAATTCCATTCTACATACAGGTGCCAATTAATGTTATTACCTCTGACTTTTTTTTTTTCATAATGTCCTTTCTGGTGAATACACTTATGTATTTATTTATTTTTCTTACTTCAACCCCGTTTGGTCAAACAGTTACTTTTTTTTATATAGACTTTGCCTTTATGCAACCAAGAAGCCACATGTAACTAAACCATGTTTGACGCTGTTTAGCACTGCAGTTCTATTGACTCTTGAGATTTTTGGCTTGAGGTAAATTTGAATAGCATTTCAAAAGACTAAGCTTAGGCTCTGTGTGGCCACTGTAATAATCCTGGCAAATTCATAAATTAATTCACAGATTAAGTTAACCATGTAACTCTGTGCTGCTTCCATGTGAAGTGGGAGGGCGGTAAAATATGAGCAGACCATCATAGAATTGTAAAATGGTGGCCTAGAAAATACTATAAAGAACTTGGGAAGTCCACTCAGCAGTAATAAAGCAAGATGAAGTAACAGAGTCACACTAATTGGTGTTGACTGACAGTCTCGAGTGCAATGAATTAGTAGGTTACTGAAGACTTATATCCGTGAGCCTGGGTCCATGCTCCCGCAGTCTTCCCGCTCACCATGTTACCATCAGCTCCACACATCCCAGCCTCCAGCTTCTGCCAAGTTCAGAACTGACAGCTGATCAACTGGCGATGTTTTGTCTCTGCTCAAAGTAGCACCTCCTACTGGGTGCCTCACAGTAGTATGCAGCAGCTCATCTGCATCCTTGTGGGGTCAGTCACTGCAGAGTTGGTCCTGCAGATTACACTTAACCTGTTCCCGTTTCTTCGCTCCTTAAAGCGGCCATGATTGCTTTCTGCTAAATAAACCTCCATCATTTTAATTTTCAACTGGTTTTCTAAGACAGCAGTCCAAGATTAACTACATGGTTTGTAACTTTCTCCACTCGCTGAAGTATTGTCTCAAGCACGTTCCAAGAATCTGAGGGACTGCTGGGAGCAAGCTCTCCCTGCCAGAAGAATTTATCTTGCTTGTTTTCCACTCCGAGTTTGCCCTGAGAAAGCTGAGGCAGCCTGCTTCTGTCTGACCTCTCTTATGTCAGTCACAGCCTGCTCCTGGCTTTGCTAGATGCCTGTGTGCTAGGCAGCAGAGATCAGAAGTAAGGCATTGGTTTTAGAGACATTTTTCCTTTTCAGTTTCAGCAGTGAAAGATCTTTCCCTTTTATATCTGTAAGTTGTCTGCAAAATGAATTTGGTGATTTCATGTCTTCTGGTTTCCCCATACACACTACAGAGTTTGAAACCAGTGGGCGTTAGCTAGCGTTAATCCTGAGAATGTGAAAAAACAAAAATGTTTGAACCAATTTTTCGTGTAAAAAGTTACGCTAGCTAACGTAAGGATTAGGTGGACCCAACAGTATCCCGTTGCAGAAAACGTGTGTAGCCTGCAGTTGGCCTACACTACTGAGTCCATATGGCAAAGCTTGCACTGTACCATAGCTGCTTGGATAAACAGGTCAGATGCTTCTATTTTGACAGCTCTGGAAGAGTACAAAGTTAGTCTAGTCAATTAATGAGAAGGTTTGAAATGAACGTTGGGATTAGTCTGAAATAATCTATTTTGAATTTGTAATTTTATTGTAAAGAGAGGCGATAGTGTTCATTGGCAGTAGTTCTGAATGTGCCCGTAGCACTCAGTAAAATGAATTAAGCCTTAAATAACATGTTACATTTAGATTATAAAAATACAAGTTGTAATGCATAGCCTAACAGTACTATAATAAGGTTATTTTATTAATGCATAAAATTGAGACTCAGTGTGGTCTCTTTGCCATCTGCTTCCTGTGACATTTATTCTTGTTTTACTAAAACACATCTGTTTTAATGATAATATGTAATTTTTAAGGTTATGAGCATTTTAAATGACCTATTTAAAATAGAAATATTATTACCTAATAGTACGAAGGTGCAGCTCCAATTAGTGGGTGAGGAAATGATGGGAAAATACTAGTTACAGCTTTAACATTTTTAGGGTATGAAATTTTAGTCTTCAGTTAATTCTCCTCTGTTTTATACTTCATGAATACTTTTTTTCCCTTCCATCTGTTTCTCCCATTATTAAAGGTACTGGTGAACTGACAGTGACTACTTCTGGGTTTCTGCCTAACCTCTATACTTCATTTGGCTTGCAGCTGATCCATTTGGTTGTTCTTATGTGATGTAAAGTACTATTAAATATCTTGTTTGAACTGGTGCTGAACAGAGTCTTGGCCCCAAAACACAAATGGATAATAATTTTTTTATTAGAAATAAGTGATTTATGATTATCCAGTTGTACTAAGTTGGACAAATTCAACAAGAGTTACTAGACAGAGAAAGAAACTGTTTTAACTCCAGTCCTGAGTTTTAGAGGACTAAATTAGGGTATTTTCATCTCAGCTGGATGTCCTACCCATTGAACTACTATTTGGAGATGGATGCATCTCTTCTCTCCTTTTAAAAATGTGCTGCTTGTTTTATCCTGTTTTGCAAACCAGGATTTATTCTTTGGCCAGCCTGTGTCATCTTAAATATGTATGTTATTAAACTAAAAAAAAGTCCATACCAGGAAATGTAAGTATGTATAATATGGCAGATACTTTCACTGTAATAAATACTATTATTTTTTTGGTGTGTGATAAATTATTATGTGTTACATACAAGCAAATTTTCTTAGGCAGATGGATAGTGCATGAGCAAAGTTTTCTTACTGGAACATTGAATGCTAAGAGGCTTTGAATAAAACTTAAGAGTTAAAACTGAAACTTAACTTTTTGCAAATTTTTCTTTAGTCCTTGTGTATGGTCAGAAGCTACGCTGTAATATGGTAAATACAAGAATGTGGAGCAGAACTGGTAGTAAATAAAAATGGTGAGAAACACCTGATTTTTTTCCTTTTTTTTTTTTTTAAAAAAACCTTTCTGTAGGCTTTGTTAGCTTCAGAACCAAAGAAGAGCAAAACAGATTTGCTGAAAATGACAATGAAAGAATTGATATCTTTGGCTGCACCTTTGAATGAATCAAGTGTAATTCCACAGGTAAAATACAGACTCTCATCAGAAGGCAAATGTCAAAGTGTTTGCATTACTTCAAACAGTTAAGGAAGTTTGTGTGTGTTTTTAATAAGGATATTTTGTTTTTATTGTCTGTAGCTAGATTTTAAAACGTGTTTGCATGTGCAGAGGTTATGAAGTCACTGGAATTTGCAGGTGCATAAGATACTAAAAATGGATTGGTCGTTATTTTATAATTTTTTTTCTAGTACAGCAAATATAGTCATATTCATTTTGAATTTATATGATCAGTTTACTGTCTGTAGTATATTTCTAAGCAAATAGATGAGTAATTTCCTTTTTTACAAGGAAATTAACAAGCAAGCATTTGTTTACATTTAGAGTAAATAAATTTAGTTGCATAAATCATATTGTGTGCAGTAAAATACTACATGAAAAGTGATTTTATGAATACTTAGTAACTTCTAAAACCTAAGTATATATATTTGGAATGCATAAAAGTTTTATTTTAAAGTCAAGATCTCTATCTTCAAAATGTTGTTATTAAATACTTCATCTTTCTGTTTGTAAGTGCAAGCCATAATTTGTTGACAATACGTAGAAGTATGTTCTAATGGCTCTGCCAGATCTTCTGCTGGTATAAATTTACGTAGCCTTGTCAAAGTCTGTGAAGCTACACAGATTACCACCTTCCCCTACAGAGAGTAGAGAAGTATCAGAAAATGCTCCATATGGTGAAGCAAGCCTGGCTGTCAGTTTTAGCTTAATATTGTCCTCCTGTGAGTTGTAGTTTATTTTTTCTCACAGTATCTACAGCATGTCAAGAATGTTGGAAAAGATGATTCTAAACTTCGAAGTTATTTTTACAGGCATGATAAGCTAAGGAAAAAAGAATGCTGGCCTTCACTTGCAATGCCTGGACTGTACTTGTTAGAGGAATATATTTTTAAACTGTAATTGGTTTTAACAGTGTTTACTGCTACACTGTTTTAATATTTTTTTTAATAATCAGTATTCTTGTATTCAATATGGAAATAAAGTGGTGTGAATGTGCATATGGATTATTTTTGAATGATCACTGCTGTAATTAACATACATTAAATTTAAGGTATTTTCCAATGAATATATATATATATATTTAATCTACCCCCACAGGTTCATGCTTTAAATATCCTTCGGGCACTGTTTAGGGATACACGTTTAGGTGAAAACATCATGCCTTATGTTGCAGATGGAATACAAGCAGCAATTCTAGGTTTTATGTCACCTGTCTGGGCAGTAAGTTAATTCTTAATTTTGCCTCTCTAATTTAACAGGATATAGAGTGGTGCTGTTCAGTGAAGCTTTGGCCACAGGTTCATGCTTTAAATATCCTTCGGGCACTGTTTAGGGATACACGTTTAGGTGAAAACATCATGCCTTATGTTGCAGATGGAATACAAGCAGCAATTCTAGGTTTTATGTCACCTGTCTGGGCAGTAAGTTAATTCTTAATTTTGCCTCTCTAATTTAACAGGATATAGAGTGGTGCTGTTCAGTGAAGCTTTGGTCATGTTTATAAATGGCAGTACCATGATTTCTGGAATGTGACATGGTGTAGTATTTTAAGGTACAATAACTAATAATGTAGACCTGCAAAACAGTCATAGTGGTCACATTTTTTGGTTTTGTTTTGGTTTTTCTGTAATGTGAAGCACTGATATTGACAAGAAGTAGGGACAAAGATTACATTATAGATAAAAATATATCTGGCTGTTAAATTTTGAGTCAGTGCACCTAGCTAGGAAGGAGTGCATTTACATTAATTCTCACTGTTACTTTGCTTTTCAATAAAAGATAGTATTCCATATGGCATATTAAGGTAGAACATTTCATGGTCTGCCATGCATAAGGGTGAATGCTTTGAACCACTAGAAAACTGGATGTATCCCTTATGTTAAACATGGACGTCTCCAAAAAATCTGAACTTTCTGTTAGTGTCATCTTGATTAAGAGGAAAGATGCTCTGAATTAATTGTTTCCATGTGCTGACCTCTGAGCAGTAGGCATGCTCTGTCCTTCACTCAGCTGCTCTTCTTTTCGACTGTACATTAGTGGCTGTATTTTAAAAAATATTAGTACATTTCAAAGGGATTTTTAAAACATAGTTCATGTTCTTTTCTTTTTCCTTTAGGTAAGAAATTCATCTACACTTCTTTTTAGTGCTCTGATTACAAGAATTTTTGGGGTTAAAAGAGGGAAGGATGAAAATTCCAAAAAAAATAGGTAAGCTTCACTTGGTACCAATTGTAAGGTTGCAAAACATGACCTTAGCCAACAACAATTTGAAAATGTTGCTTGCTTTATGGATATATTTGAATCATGATGTTACAAAAACATCTAGCTTTGCTTAAACTATGCTGCCAAGAAATAAGTGGTAGGGCCAAAAATATCTGCTGTTAAGCAGTGAGAGTTAATTTGTACTCACGTGCAATTTCACGGAAGGGGAATGTTGCTGAGAGATTTTGGTACCAGTGGCTCTTCCAAATGCCCAGTCTCTCTTGTGGTCACAAACTAGCCCTGTTGCTCTTGACAGCAAAGGGGGGGGGGGTGAAAGAGAAGAGGAGCAATGATCATGTATGTTCCCTTGCCTCTAGAGTAGGCCTGGAGGTAATCTGACCCCTACTAATTTGAGATTTTTTCCGTTTAGTCATCTTACTCTAGAACACCCGGTTCCTCTTCCATGTCTCTTTCCTCCAAGCTCCAAAAATTGCAGCTTGCAAAGCTGCTTCTCTTCCAAGGGATTCTGCTCTTGAACTCTGTAGTCCTGCTCCAGATCCTCTACTATTTCACTTTCTTATGTAAAACCAATTCTCCTCTGACTCTTAAAACTCCCCAGTCCTGAGCATTCCTATTTCTCTGTGCCCTCCAGTTGGTGCACAAGCACCCCTGTGTTTTCTTTGGCCTTCAGCCCCTTCCTTTAGCCTCTGCAGCAAATGAAGCATGCCCATGCCCTGTGCTCTATAGCTGAGGTTCCTGCTTTAGTAGGGATGTTGAAAATAACCCTGGACGCAGAATGAACTCATTAAAAAACACTCCTGGGTTTGTCTGCAAGGCCATAGAGTGGTCATGCTATGGATATTATGGTAACCATTTCAGAAATTCCTAATGGATTTTCAAATCACGGACAAGGTATGCAATTTCTGAAAGAAGGCAATTGTTATGATTTACCTTCAAAAATTCCATTCATTATGCAGTGATTCCTTAGTGTTGATCTATGTAGCTAGTATAATTTTCATGCACATTATGAGAAACTAAATATCCTGGGATGATACTAATCTTTCATCTTTTAAGTGATAGATAGGTGCCATTTTAGCTGTTTGAAATAATTAATTTCAGGTGTCACTTGAAAAATTAGTTACTATGCATGTATGAATGTGAGGAAGAAATACGGGTGGGAGATCGGAGGGAGATTTCCATTAGAAAATAACTCTTCCCCCAAAAACGATTTGAAATGCCATCTCCCCTACTGCATGAAATTATCCCTGCTTTGTCATAAACCCAAAACACTTCTCACTTAAACTCGGAATTCACTCCCGTAACCCCTGAAACCCAAGCAGAGCAATAAAAAGTTTCTCATTTCTTGCCTTCTCACTTTGGTTTTGTAACAGCATTTAAAGTTGGGGTTTTTTTAAATTTCAATATTGAGCACTTATTGAAAGAAATACATACCTCAGCTTTTTTAAGCTTGCATCCTAGGGAAAAACTTCACACTAACTTTGCAGTGGGAAGGCAAACTGACTTCTCAAATACACGCAGTGTGATGAGATATGTAATCTGAGTTTTGTTTGTGAAGTTGCAGAAAGTAATGCGTTTGAGCATCTGTTGGGGATGGGAGATACCAGAATGAAGGAAAGTAAACTTTTATATAGTTGAATTGAATTCATTAAAAACAATGTTAATTTTTATACAACTGGCACTGTTGACTTGCTTCTCTGAAGGTTTCTGTTTACAGTAACTTCTTTGTAGTCACTTTGACCCAAAAGATTTTAAAGCTGGGCTGGCTTCTTTTTCTTCCTCTACTCATTTAACAATTTTGCATTAACATTGTACATAGTCAGTTCTACTGTTTCCCACATGTAATCGTCAATAACCACAAAACAGGGAATAGGAAAACACGGGTCAGTGAGAGACAGGAGATATGAAAACAGAGGCAGAGATTGGATTTCAAGTTTCTGACTCCTGTCTCTACCAGAGATACTGATTTAGAAGGAGAAGGATGTAGAGGTTGTTTGGCTATTTTGTTTGTAAAGCTTTTTCTTCAGAACCGCTCCGGTGGGTTTAAGGTAGGTTGTGTTTGGGAAGAGGTCTGACTTTCAGTGGTTTGGCACCACGAGGTGTCACCGTTGCTGCACAGCTCCCTGCAGCCACATCCCTGGGGTGCAGCTGCACTTCTCTTCAGGAGCTCTAAACTTGTTTTTAGTGTTTTGCTGGAACAGAATTCATATATTAAAACAAAGTAATTTATTTCCCCCACTTTTAAATCTGGCAGTTTACTTCACAAGCATTTTAGCAACTTGCATCTGTAGGAGCTGGTGTGAAAGTTATCTGGGTTTGAGCTGCTTGTTCTGTTGCCTGCAGGATGTTCTGTTTGCATTAAGGGGCAGTCTGTCTGTGGACAGAGACAGAGGCCAACTCTCTGATGCCGCCATTAGGACCTTGCATAGGTTTGCAGTTTGCCTGATTTTAGGTTAGGGGTTTAAATTTGTCTGTTCTGCCCCAGTGGGGAGTTACCTTATTGCTGCGCTATTCTGGGCATCTGTCTAAAAAAGGATGGACTTTCTGGTTGTTTTCTCAACAAGAGTTCCTATGAAACTGGTACAATTGGGGTGGTGGAGAGTTTGTGTAGACTTCCAGAAGAAAGCTTTATTGGAACAGTACTGTCAATTTAATTTCACTGCCATGTTTCTTTAACATACTTTGTGTTATGTTTCCCTTTTTTCCCTCTTATTTCCACTAAAAATTCACATATAGCATCCTTTTTACAAAAATTACAGGCCTATCATGTCTTTTGCTGCTTTTAGTCTGCTGATACTATGTTCCATTTCCTATTTATGTTAATTTTGTACATTGTAATTGCCATGCAGCTGGGGTGTTTACGTAGTGAAACACAGTGGTGGTCCGTTATTTGATGGTCTTGATCAGTTGGATTGAATGACTGAATGAACTATAACCTATGTCTGATCAGTAACCTGATTTAATTTGGTTTTTTTTCCAGGCATACGTAAAAGAATGATGGGTTTGGGTTTTTGTTTTGATTTCTGTTTATTTTTGTTGTTGTTGTCTGCCTCCAAACATTCCTGTGTCATTTTGGGTGTGAAAGGGCCCCCTCACTCCGTGACAAAGAGTGAGGGGATGCCAGACTCTGCTGACAGACATTTGAAGTTACATCTGCAGTGGCCATCCCTACTGGAGGGCAGAGGCAAGAAAGCATGTTGAGCTGGGCTTTGTGATCATTGAAAGGGCTTTAGGAAGGTTAGCCAGAACTGTCTGTCTCAATCTGAGAACAAGGCAATACTAGATTATGCTAGAGAAGGTCCGTTCTCTGAAAACTTGATCTGCAGTTTTGAGGAGACATGGGTTGAAGAAATAGCCAACTACGCATCATGGCTCCCACTGCTCGGTTGTGCTGCAACTTCAGTTGTCAGTGGGACTCTGCTGTGGGTCATCTGCAACATGTTTGCATCAACAGCTGTATAGGTACAACTGGGGAGTGGAGAACTGGGGCAGTGAAGGAGGGGGATTTCTTGGGCAGAACTCTGGGCTAATGGAAACTTCACTCATAAGGGTTCACTGGAAACTTGAAGGGACTACTCTACATCATGCTCTACAGGAGATGCAGTCGTATCCTGTTTTCATTAAATATTGATGCGTCTTTTTAATTTTAGCATGGGCAGGGAAATAATGAACTGGAAAATTAATACTTGAAAAATAACAACTCTGTGTGCAGCTCTTGCAAGGAGAAGAGAGAGAAATTATGTGAAGACTGTTTACAGTGGTCCATGCAACTCTACAGGTTGAGCTTTCTCTTTCTAGTGAAAAGAAAGTTAGAAACAAAGAAATTTTCTCTCTGAGAAAGAATGTACCAAAACTTCTAATGCTGCTGTAAGTGTGTTTGTGTGTATTTGGCTAAATGATGCTTTGAATTCCAGATAATTGACATTTTAAAAATAGTCCTGTTAACACTTACCTGTACGGGGGTTTATTTTAGTTTTTATATACTCGATTTGGGAATATAATTTTCTTAAATATTATGATCATTGCAAATCTACAAGACTTGGAATGAAGTTCTAGCCACATAAATACAAAGCGAGGAAGGGTTGGAAAGGAGTCTTTGCAATTAGCCCATTTATATGTGGTTATAGAAAGTGTACTCTGCATAGATACATCACAGTGTGCGTTAGAGGAAATATCCACCTTTTCTCCGGGCCCTTCACAGCACAGGTATTTATGTTAGTTTAGCCAGTCACTTCATGCTCGGAGGATGCTAGGCCCGTATCCTAATTTGCCTAGCTACCACGCTATCAGTGCGACCTGTTCCCCAGCCCCACTGCCATTCAGCGCTTGATCCCGTGCTGCAGGTGCTGGGGCTGCACTGAGGCCTGCCCTCCGCCCAAGCCGTGGTCTGGAGAGGGGGCTGCCATGGCCCAGGCATGTCCTCCCATGGGCTGCTCTGGAAGCAGCACTCTGAGGGGCACGTTGAAGACCCGAGTACTACACTTGGTTTAATACAAATTGATTGAAGTAGGACTTTAAATGGCAGCGAGTTCTGTAGGCCGCTGAGTTTGCCTCTCATGTTTTGATTAAATAGCCATTTCCAGTTTTCTTGGGTTTCTACATCAGCAAATGTAGATTTGCTGATTCCGCACACTTTTCAAGAAGCTGGGGTGTAGTGTATGCTTAATAATTCTGGGTTTTGTTTCCACGGGTATTTTTTTTTTTCCTGTTAATGTTGCTACAGATTGCAAATCATCTAAAGTAAATGTTTGCTCTAGTCGATTGTAGGCTCCATTATTTATCACATGAAATATTAGGATGTCTTGAGATGAAGAGATTCTAAAAATAAAATGGAATATATATTGTGATAGTTAATGCAGGTCCGTACATGAAAGTCAAAATAACTTACATATAAAGTCAACTGAAATTAATTTTGAAATGTTAATTAAATTTCTCATCATAGGGGAATTCTCTTCTGCTCAAATGAGGTACAGCAGTAATAGTGATAT